TTGCAAATGTGAGCCAAATAATTTGTTATAAACCGTATTCACCGGTATTCCATATAAAATTTCCCACATAATTATACCAAATGAATAAATATCGGATGCTTTAGTATACGGCTTTCTTTTTTAACTTCTGGATTAATAACTTCTGGTGCTATATATGGTAAAATTACACAAACACCAACAGTTTCTATATTTGAGTCTTCGATTATTGGTTTTGAAAGTCCCAAATCACCAATATATGCACTGTTTAATCTAGTTAGTAAAACATTTCCACTATGTAAATCTCGATGAATAAGTTTTTGAGAGTGGATTATTTGAAGATCAGAAGCAATACAGTCAACAAAGTTAATTTATCTTTCAATTCCGTTTGTACTACAGAGACAAGCTTGCTACTTAAGGAATCCATTGCTTCTGTAGTTCTATAACAAGAACATAATTCTTAGAAATATTATCTTTTGATATTATGTAGCACCTTAAAAACGTTAGATTTTTAGTGCCAATATCACAATATGCTTTTAACTTTAGGGTTTAAAAATAATTTGTTAAAATATAAATTGTTAAATTGTCAAACATGTCTATACATAAATTCATTTACCTTTTTTACAATCCTTCGTAATTCTCTCTTGATTTATGAAGCAATTTAAGCGCAACAGGTGTTACCGTTCCTTGATTTTGATTGATCCAGTTTGCATAATACACTGACGCAAATCCACCTTGTCCTATTTTTCATATATTTTCAAATTCGTTATAAGGAATCCAAGATAATAGATATTCACTTTCAGTTAGTATCCTTTCTAAATTATCATCAACATCCAAATTTTCATATATTTACCTGTTTGTTATTAACTAATATTAAGTTATTATCGTTATTATCGTTATTATCGTTATTATCGTTATTATCGTTATTATCGTTATTATCGTTATATTTGAATCATTTTGATAAATAACTATAATCAATAATAATAAGTAATTACATGATATTTGTTTCCGTTCTCTAGTAATTCATGTTTTATTTGCTAAAAAGAAATATATAAAGTTATCATGGAAATATAAAAATAACTCACATTTGGTACCATTTATTAGCTTCTTTTAAATCTCTCATTGCTCAAATTCCATTCCGATAACAATAACCAGTAAAACATATTCCACCAGTATTCCTCAGCTCTGCAGCTTTTAGAATATAAATGAATGACTTATGTTCATCCTTTTCAACTCCTCTTCCAACTTCATAACAGTTACCAAGTGCAATTATTCCGTTAGAATCCCCCATCTCTGCTGATTTTTGATAATAAATGAATGCCTTATGTTTGAATACAAATAACATATGTATTTTCAGTAGAAATGTTTTTCGTAACTATCGGGAATAAATTTGACAAAATGATGCGGTTTATATTATAATATTATTACTTATGATCTACCAGTATTTTACGTATGTACTGTACATATAAAAAAATTAAATATCACAATTACTACACGTCACATTAGTATTCAAAAAGGAGATTTACAATATTTGGCACGAGGGGTACACAATTATGGTTATGAAAATTTTTTTATTAAACTAGTGATGTTAGATGTGGTGGGTGACTTCGTCACCTGCTTGCAGTTTTAAATGTGGTACTGCTCACTTCACAATAGTCCTAGCATTACCAATTTAAAAAGTTTCACTGGCTAATCAGATTTCAAGATTAGGTGCAGTGTTGGAACTTTTATGTTCTCATGTTTTCAATGAGAACATGGGTTTCACCCTGTATAGATAAAAGCTATACGTACCAAAATTTTGAGTGAAAATACCTTGATAACCACCTAACCAAATTCGATAAAATTTTTTTATCTGAATTTTATGCATCTATACAATGTATATAAAAAAATTTTCTTCGAAGTTGGTCAGATGGGTGTTGAGATTTCTTCATTCAAAGTCTTAGAAACATTCAGAACACCTATCTGAATAGAGGCAGTATGTATAGTAATAAGTAATGAAATCTTTGTTCTTAAATGAAGTCCTTGAGATTACTGATTATTTTTGCACAATTATATAGATGTTTTTTTGAAGCTAGAAATAACTTTTATAATAATTTTTTGGTAATGAAAATGTTACGTCCTTTAAAGTACTTTAAACTGTATAAATAAACTACCAAAGAAATTGCCACATGTACAATAACTGTTTGGTACAACTTTTTTTTTATTGGTAAATGGTTTATATCACGTTACAGAATTGCGAGTTTTAATTATGGTTGTTTTCACTTTGGACTTTAAACCTTCGTTACGATCTTTTTTGTTACGGCCTTCGACGTTCATCGATTATCAATTCATTTACCCGGCAAAAAAAATACGAAAAAAATACAAAATATAAAATCATAGATGGGCATGCATAATTATAAACGGATAATATTGACCAAAATCGACAATACACATACGATTTTCGTGTTTGACACTTAACGTCCAGCGCTCCTCAAGAATAGATTCGATTCGATCTAGATTTAGAACTAAGAACATATAAAAATGGAGGGCGTAGATCATTGCTTTTATACAATTACGAGGAAATTGTTTTTGTCAAAAAACTTGAAAAGACAACGTAGCACAAACTATATATGGTAATTGCCGTTAATTACCCTATTATTATAAATTTAAATAAGAATATTCGTTACAGACAGATAGCATTCCGCAAAATATAATAAGTAAGATTCGCACATAAACCCTCCCACACCATGCAGAAAGTCCTGTTTTATGCTGATGCTACATATCATGAATTCAGCTGAAGAAGATATAAGTAGCACAATATAAATGCTATTTCTGGGCTCAGTTTGTATATCAATTGTGCAAATGCATATTGCATATTCTCAATAAAGGTAATTTAATAAAATTTAATATTTGGTATCTGGTACGATGCAGGAAATCTAAAAATCTTAATCACTTTATATAGAATAAAAAACGACCCAGCACATTAGAGATAAGCTAAATTCAGTAATGGCTTATTTTAAGTTTTAGCTCATCACTCTATTGAGATTATTTTCAATGAGTTACTAGTTTATGCATTATTATCTTAATATGGAGATTGAGGTTTTTAAATTTCCTACACCGCAATGCTTTTTAATTGGTTTAAAATTTTTTTATACTCATTGCAACAATTTATCTTTTAATATAAGGAATTAAATGCTTTAAGTAAACTTCAAGCTTTCATCATGCTTAATAATATATCTTGATAATATATTTTAATCCATCAACTTTCACAGTTCGATCTACTCACTGAAATCAAATAAACGTAAAGTCGTCACTATGTCACCAATATTTCATTTGCAAATCAAAAAGTTCGAACCGATTTAGTAAAGGCAACATGGGTGAAAGATACTAGTTATGCAATTTTTATTGTTTACATTATACATAAAAACTAATAAGCGTATGCAAATAATGGTAGCTAATTAACTTTAGATCTTTGGTCTTTTTTTTCTTTTAGGTTATAAAAACCTTATTTATGAGGAAATCTTACCATATACCAAATTCGAAATATATTTTTAATAGAATAGTTGAATATGTAAGATGTATAAGTGATTTTGTCCGAAGCGTAATGAGGACTCATTGGTTCAAGCATGTTAGTCAGGATTTTAGGTCCCGTGAATGATCTGTATTATACGATTTTCGTTTCGGACCTATATCAGATTTTGATTTCCTAGTATTATATTAATTAATAAATACATATTATCTATCTTGAACTCTACATACAATTTTCATTAAATTTCCTTAAATTCACCAGCAATTGGTATGTAAACTTTTCTATATTTTGATATTTTGGTGTAAACAAACCAAATTTAGCAAGTTTCGGAATTTTCTCCCGGCCAAAAGTTTCGCCTGACCGAAAGTTTCGACACATTAATTCTGATTTCGACATTATGATGTTCACCACGGTTATTAAAAGAGATTGCTACATCTAGATTATCCCATGATTTAATATTTATCACATTCATTAAACTTTATTAAACTTTAATGATTACATCCGCCTTAAAAATCTTCTGATAGAATTTTCATTCTAATATCTTTTACCATACTATAAATATTTAATTAAGGAACTTAATGATCAAAAATGCGTAAAAATTTTATTAATGCTTAAATAAAACTAAAATTAATTCTCAAATTAACATGTTCACTATATAAAAGTGCACCAATAATTATTATCTTCATATAATCTTTCGACAAACTAACACTAAACTTCACTGCATTTCAAAGAGAATCAGTAAACAGAGATCGGAGATCGTAAATTATGTTTTTCCGAATCTATCCGATATATGCGTAAAGCACAATTAAGTGTACGTACTGAATTACTGAATCTGTGACAGTTTATATCGATCACCAAATCGAAAGAGCAGAATTTAGTGCAGGGATTAATTTACTTGATATTCGATATTTAAATGTACTCACATAACTAATTTTCGTGCTGGAAACTTTTATTCAGAAGGCAAACTGTGGTTATCATAGCAAAACCTTGAGTTACATATTTGTCTTTTCGAATTTTTTAGGTTACATGTGATCTTGTGATTTTATAGGCTACAATCAGCGACGATCGACATAACCTGCACAGATTCGTACATCTGATTCATTGAGATTTATTTAGGTCTGACAATACGCCAATTAAACATTGTTAATGCACCGGAATGCTGTAATGATATCATCATGCAGCTTCAATGATATAAATACAATGTTTTTTAAGCTCGGTCGTAAATTTCGCATAATAGACTTAAAATTTTTCGCTAAATTTCACTAATCAGTAAAAGATGTCTCGGACATATGATTTTCCACCTATATTAAATCCAATATTTTATATAATAGTTATCCATGTTCCTTTCGTTGTATTTACTCTTTTATCTCTCAAACCTGTAACTAGCAAACCACTTACTTGCATACTTTATATTATAACCTTTGTTCAGGCACTGATTCCTTTCATATATCATGGAAGATACGAATCACTACTGCACTTCGCTCTAGCAGTATTAATAACGTTTTACGTATTCAAAATGATGTTATGGTTGAAAAAAAATCACCAATCTTTGATCGATCCGAAAATTAAAGTTCCTTCATTTATCGGCTCATTATTTAATTGGCGTCCTGATGCAGTAACTATTCCTGATGAATCAAAATATCAAAAATATATTGATTCTATCAAAGTCTCAGATCTCAACCAAGAGATGATTAATCACATAACTACAACTATTATGAAATTTTTGCTTTTAGATCTTATGTCTGAATATTTAAACAATAACACTCCAGAAATCTCAGAAAGATCATATTTATTACGGGTTTTAGATTATCTTAGAACCGGACGTCCATTTATTGAAGCATATACTTTCTTTCATTGTGTTCTTTTTATAATTCACGTAATTATATCCTTTAAACTAATATGGAACACTAATTGTATAGTCTATGGGATGATTTTAAAATTTTTGTTATCTAATGACATCGATAAAAATAGAGATAAAAATAGAAAACAACGACAAGAATCAAAATCTCTTAAAACAATCATTAAAGAATGGTTAATTCTTTCAATATTCTATACAAAACCCATCATGGGTAATCCTTATTTTTCAACAAGTCCTCGAGATCTATGGTCTAATCAATGGCATCAAATATATAATCATGTTTTTCAAGAACTTGGCTATCTTCCTGTCAAAAACTATTTTGGATGCAATAAAACCCTTGGACGTGCGCTTGGAATCTGTTCTGCTTTTTTAATAAGTGGATTATTTCATGATTATTTAGCAATAGTATCTTTTAGTCATTTTTCTATAGATTTTACAATTTTTTTCTTATTTAATGGAATACTTTTGGTTTTGTGGGAAGCTGTTGAAGGTGATATTTTAGGAAGAGGAAATGAATTTAAAGATAGCTTTGGAATCAAAGTTTTTAAGATGTCCTTGTTTTTACCAATTGTGATCTTTATGGTACCATTGTTTGCGGAACCTTATATTAAAGGGCTATATATTTATTCACATCTGAATATATATACGAATTTAACAAAATTGTTCAATTGGAGAACAATGTGATTTTTTTTATTCACATTCTTATAAAAATTCTTCATATATAGTCAATAAAGAAATAGATGCGTATACATAGTGATCATTATTCATTGTAAAAAAAGAATAATATATTTACTTTTTTTATATTGGCTTAATAGTTGTACGTACGTACGTACGTTCGATTTTTAATAATTACTATTATTTCGTTTATCTCAGATTTTTCATTAATATTGCAGGTCATTCAAAGTTAATTATTGTTTTAACGGCAATTTTTAAATCTCAGGAACAAGGGAGGTGATTTATTAAAAACATATCCGTATGCTACAGAATATCTTATTACCCAACTTTAACCACATAACATGATTATACCAGAAACCGATATCATTTTGAAAAAAATGTTGTGACTCTATATTATTTACGGCATTATGTTGTCTGGGCATCAATTAGAATACATACCTTACTATTTACTTTGACATCCCTTCCACCTTATACTGTATTATCAATTTATGTATTTCGTTTAAAATTTTTTATATTATATTTCACTGCCGATTTTCCATTTAGCTAGACTAAATGGATGAGTTTTCACTTCGCTTAAATTTAAGCCAAAAATATGAGACTTGTTGTTAATAATGCTTTACTCTATTAGTACCATATAATTATCGTCATCGTTCACGTAATCTTAATGTAAGTTACATTTTTTTTTATGAGCGGTACTAAGAGGTTATTTTTACTATAAGTAAATTAAAGATGCTTTCTAGTAAAATATGTGAATCCAAACTATACGTCAGTGTTGCTTCAAATTGTAAGGTGCGAAGGCGTTAGTCTTCTAATAAATTCCTATTCCTGATGCCTTCTAATTATTAATCTGTATATTTGGGAAAGTGCATTGGAAGCTATTTTAGTATAAATCGTTAATTTTGATTGACTAAAAACAAAAAAAAAAGATATATTGAGCTCTTCCAATAAAAAATTTCCGATTATCCAATATTTTAATAGATAATAATAATTCATATGTTGATAAATTATCAGTACAATTTTTTTTCATTACACATTCGGTATTACGTAATAATGATATTTTTCATGAGGAAATCGACAGCCATCACAATTGAATCCAACATAAATAATTTGATTTGTGATTGATCACAGGCGAGAGGGATTCACTTTGGATCGGGCACTGTCTCTGCTGTAGAGGAAATCTAATATTACAATGTAATTTTCATGAGTACTGATCAGTATACAGGACAGGATATATAATAAGATTTACTCTAATCAGAAATTTTTTTTAGCGTATCAAATATAATCGTTAAAATTAATAAAATTGATGATTGATAAAATATGCTATTGCTAGATCAATGCTTTCATGAAATATATAAAAGCTATCGTTTCAACGATCGAAATATTAAGTCAAGTATAACAACATATAAGTATATATATATATATATATATACATAACTACAAGAAATCTTAGTCAAACAAAAATGAAAAATTTTCTCGGCTTTGTAATTTTAATATTGGCAAGTATTGGCCAAATTCTTGCCAATGAATGCGTCAGTTGGAGAATTACTTCTCCAACAACACAAGGTTTAGTATGGACCGCAGGTCAATACTATGCTGTATCCTGGGATCCTGGTTATTCCCAAGTAAATACAGTCGACCGAGTTGACCTTTATACAAGTGATAATAAATTTGTTGTAACTGAATGGAAGGGTCCAATTTCGGTTAACGCTTTGACAACAGGAAATTTCCGTCTTAAAGCTCCTTCTCCTGGAATTTATTATTTTAAGGTTATTGCATCTACACCAAGTGGTAAATGCACGTTGAATTCTGTCAGTTTTACTGTTTTGAAAAGATATATGTCTCCTCAAAGTCTTCCTACCATTTCCGTATCTCCTGCACCTGCGGCTCCATGTACTATTCCACCAAAATTTGCTTGTAGTGGTAATTATTTCTTGGAATGTGATGGTGAAAAATGGGTTATTCAGAATGTATGCCCAGTTCCTTGTAAAGATATTCCTTCTTATGCTTCTCACTGTGGCATTGCTTAGTTTTTAATTATAGCTATATCAAATTATTAAATACATCTACATAAGTAGATTATATTCATGAAATTTTATTATGTTTATTATTAGAGTAAAAATGAAATAAATATTGTTGATAACCTTATCGTTTAAACTTCTTATTAAAATATTTAGCAACTTGTTGTGTGTTACATTTCTATATCTGATAGAATTAAATTTCGTTGTTTTAAATTCATCGTGAGATGACAAATTATTCAATATAAAAAATAACAGTAAACCATTTTAAACATTTTAAGAATCCTTTTCCACGTAATATTTCAAATTTTTTTTTTGTTTAAGCAAATAATATGCAATAGACAGTAGAAACTCGAATTCAGGCTAGATATGGAATTGTTATATACTGGGAACATTCATTGACTTTTTGGGCAAAATCGAAAGACCTAAATCCAGTTACTTTGCAATCGCTCGACTACAGTTGTTATGCGAAACCTAGAGGTTTCGCTAAAAAAAAGCTGAAGGACGAAATGGAGAAACCGGTGAAAAGTTGTGAAACTGGCGAAAGATGACGAAACTAGCAAAAGGTAACAAAACTGGAAAAAGGTAATAAAGTAGCAACAATCTGGGAAACTACTGCTTTATAATAAGTTCTGCATTTAATTTATAGCATATTATCTTATTTATCTGCTTGCCTTTATTAGAAAATATTATTCTTTACTATTTTTATATGTATTAATCATTCTTTTTGTTCAAAATAAGAGTTTTTTTTTTTTAATGAATATTAAATTTTGCCTTGGATTATATTCCTGTTTACCCTTATCTTTTACAATTTTTTTCTTACTTATTTGGTCTAGCTTACGCTCTTTATGTTTCTTTAAAACTTGCTTTGTTATATTTTCTTGAGCTTTTATATTTTAGTATTTTGTAAAGATTTTTTTAAACATATCTGTCATGATTTTCTAATTAATAAATCATTATTCTTTTTATCTTTTAGTAATTTTAGCACTATCTATTTTTTTATTATCATCTAAATATTTATTTAGTATAATTTTTAATACATCTTTATTTGTAATATATAAAATGTATTCTATCTTCAAATGGTTATTTTTTTAGTAATTTTAGTTTAATTTTTTTTTTAAAATTAAAGTTTCTATTTTGAGAAATAAATTTTTTATTTAAAAATATATTTATTAAACTATTTCATCAAAATAAATAAAGATTAAAAATAAAAAAATTATAATATAAGGATGTGGCAACCTAGTGAAGTGGTCAGGTTTTTAACCCTTCAAATGGTAAGTTGGATGTTCAAATTTTATTAACATTAAAAATTTGAATAATCACTTATGTATATTTGTATTATGGCAACTGTTACTAATGATTAAGTTAGGATATCTATAATAGCAGTCACATTAGCATAACTAGTAAGTCATGAAGCATATATGTAACTTGTTATACAAAGAAATACAAACTAACAAATTAAGTGGTGCAAAGATTAGATAAGTCCTTGTAGCTATATAAATCTGTTAAAATTGGGTAACAAGAAATTTATTTGAGAAAACCTAAATAGAGAGGTAGTCAGATCTTTAATAGTTCTACTGTAAAAACTAGTCTAAGAAAATGAATACCAAGTTTATAGTATCTGATTATAGTAATATAATAAACTTTACTAAAAACTAACAAGTTATAGTAATTTTAAATACACAAATACTAAGTAGAAGATCTTTTATTTAAAGGAAAATAAAATAAATAAAAATAAAAAATAAATAAGAAATAAATATTTAAAAGTGGAATTTAAATTTAATAACCTCCTAGGCATTATAAGGTACAACAATAGAATCAGCTTTTAAACTAATCCTACTATCCAGTCTGTATGGATTGGGCATAATAAAATATTTATTCTATACAAGAAATATTAAATTTTAAAACTTAAAAATGTTTATAGAATATAATCAGAAAAAAAAAACTTAATAATCATACTGTTAACAGCTATATATGACTTTTAAATTTCAATAATATAAAGTTAGTATTTGCCAAATAACTAATTAAGAAAACTAGTTATTCACTTTATATTATTACAAAAAAAAAAGAAAATAAAAGAATAATATAAAGCTAGTATTTATTAAATAACTAATTAAGAAAACTAGTTTTTCACTTTATATTATTATAAGAAATAAAGAAACAATAAAAAAAATAAAGATAAAATATAAAGAAAAATAAAATAAGAAACAATTTTTATTTATTTATTTTTTTTTGGTATTAAGTTGATCTCTTTAGTCTTTTAACTTTTATTAATCACTTATTAGTATTGTGGTTCAATGAACTACTACAAAAGAGTATACAATTGGCTACATATGTAACTTTTTTATATTATTTATTTAAGGAGTCCATCTGAAGGTTCCTTACTAATTGTCATACCTAACATCTCTGGTTGGGTGTTTTATTTTAAATCTTCTAAACCTGTAACCTATATTGACATCACTAAGTTATACTCAGATGCCTAGATCATTATCTCAATTTTAGAACTAATTTATTCTCAAGGTAAACCCCCAAAGCCTTTTGTACCTATTTTTACAGCTGACCTAGGTATCGCTATGGCAAAACCAACACTTGCAGTCAAGACTAAACATTAAACTACTATGTTTTTGTAGAGTTCACTTAGACTTCAACATCTACTTCATAGCATAACCCTGTTACTTTAGTATACTCCTATCTTTTTATCTGCCTTTTTACCAAATTCCTAATTCAGATAGTCTCTGTAAAACTATAACTAGTCTATTAGTATATCAGGTTGGCCCAATATCCCTTTTCTCTAGTTCATTCTAACAGCCTATTTGGTGATACACCTGAAACTTCCAACTTGGAGATTCTTGTCTGTCCAGCTACTACAACTGAATACTATGACCTTGGTATCTGTTTTATCAGGCTAGCCTTTACAGTAAAGCTGTCAAAGATCCAGCTATTTCTCTACTCAGGTCTTCCCAAATAGACTTTTTGTTACTCAATTTTAACAAATTTACATAGCTACAAGGACTTATCTAATGTTTGCACCATCTGATTTGTCAGTTTACATTTTTTTATATAACACTATATTTATACAGATGACCTATGACTTGCCAGTTATGTTGATGTGATTACCATTATAGGTATCCTAACCCAATTATTAATAACAGTTGCCATAATACAAATATTATATAGATGATTATCCAAATTTTTACCATCAATAGGATTTGAACACCTAACCTACAACTTGGAGGATTGACAACCTGACTACTTCACTAGGTCACCACACCTCCTAGAAACAGTTTTTATAAATAATATTCAAAGAATAATAGTTAAAGATTATTTTATTAAAGAGTTATTGGTTAAATAATTATTATAAACAGCTTTATATATATATAAAAGCAGAACTTCCAAGAACTATTCTTTTAAAAAGACAAAAAGCTATCTTTTTTATAGCTTTTAATCTAATAATTGATTGGTTTTAGAGCTAACATATGTTGTAACATCATTCTGAACAATTTGGATATCCAAAATGTAGCAGAAATTAAGAAATTCCATGTTTATTTTATCAATAATACTTGTATATAAATAATAAACCAATTCTGCATTTTTCTATTTTTACTAATATTTGGTACTTTATTGTACAATAACTTATATATTAACTAAAAATAAAACAAATATCATTATATAGCCTATATCTTCATCTACAAAATTATCTATAGTCATTTAGCATTCAGAAGCCTTCTTACATGTATTAATATAAGTACAACTAAAAATAACTATAGTAATATATAGAAACTATTGTTAACCTGTAGTTTTTTCTTTAAATACAGTGATAACAGAAATTGCTCAACTATAATATAATGAATATAACTTGATAGATTCTATACAAAATTTCATACAAGACTTAACAAAATACAAAGTGATTTTAGATTTTAAGACAGAGGTAACTATAAATAATATATGAAAATACTAAATATTGCATTCAGTTTATTAATTATTAAAATGTATGAAGATACTTGACTTTCTTGAAGAGTCAGAAAGAGTATTTTTATAAATATTTTACATATTTAAATTATTACAATAAAGCTAAGTTATCTCAATAGAATATGCTAAATATAGTAATATATGATAAGAAATTTTTTTTTTTTGGCATTAAGGTGAGGCCTTGCTTGTATCTTTATTAGTAGTTTAAAAGTTAGAAGCTACATGGAGCTACTAAGTACAAAAA